AAAAAATCAAAAGAATAATTTTCACATAAAATTGTATGAACTCACATTTCAGTATCCATAAGTAAAGTTTTATTGGAACATAGCAGTGTTCATTTGTGTATATGTTGCCTATGGCTGCTTTTGTGCTATAATGGCAGAGTTGAGTAGCTGTGACATAGACTGTGTGGCCCCCAAAGGCTAAAATATTTACACTTTAAAATACTTTGCCCTTCGTAGAAGAGGTTTGCCATCCTATGCCAGCCCAGAACAAATAGTGCTCAATAAGTATGTGCATGAATGAAATGACTTATCAGAGCAGGAAGGAAGGAAGCTAGGACTGGTCAGAGCTAGGATGGACTTTAGAGGTTGTGTACTTGCCCAGGGTCTTAGGGCCAGGACCAGAACCTATGATGACCATCCTCTTCCAAGACTCTGTTGGGGAAGCTGTCTCGGCTTGTTATCTGGCAGTATTAGGGTCTGCCTTCTGTGTCTGAAGTCTTAGTTTCCTTATCTTTGTTACCCCTCCCCCCCCCCCCACACACACACACCTCACCTTCCTTTTTATGGGCTTCCCCCCTGCATCCTCCCTCCCATTTTCCAAAAATCCACACCCTTCAAAGTTTCCATCCAAAGTCCAAAATCAATATTAGGGACTGATGATTCTAGACTGGCTGGATAAAGGGATTATTCTACAGTGTGGGAAAATACATGTCTATAGTGTGTGCTTAGCCCAGAATGGGAAAGTTGCCTCTGTTGTTTTCTACCTCCTTGCTACCATCTACAAAGAATCCTTCCTCCCCTGCCATCCACCCTCCAAGTCTTTCTAATCCCCATAAAACATCTGTATTGGCACAGAGCAGGGTGCATGCAGGGGAAAGGGTTTCACCATTTCTTAGATCTAGTGTACAAAGTTGCTGCCAGTATTTTTCTCTCTCTCTGGAGTAGTTTCTAGAGGAAGGAGGTGCTTAGTCCTTGGCCTGAAACCCAGAGCACACCTGTATGGCCATGCCTGCCATGAGCAACGTGTCAAGCAAGTTTGCCAAGAAACTAAGATTCTCAGGTACTCTGAAGTTAGGGAAAAGCAATTTAGTTCAGGAAAGGTCCCGTCTTCCTCTTCCTGCATTTCTTAACCTTCTTCTGTAGCTATCTCTGAACACCCATTCTAGAGGCATTTTAAATGAGGAGCTTGTAAACTCACAGCCTTGTTATCCAGTGGGCTCTAGTAGACCCTGAATATGTTTGTGTACCTGTGCATTCGTGACTGTGAGAATCCCACTGGACATAGGAAGTGGGCATATTCTGGGGGGCAATTTGTCTGCATAGTCTCTGGTCATAAATACCAGAGTCACTCCTTAGTCTTGGTCATACTTGCTCAGGTTTAGAAGAAAGGAATTGTGTAAAGAGGCACTTGAGAGTTCTAGAATAAAGTTATATCATGTTTGGGGCTCAATTTTCCATCCTGGTTTCTCTTATCTATAACTCAGTGTTTATTGTTATAAGAGAGTCATAGGATCTAGATTCCACCCAGGTCATTCCTTTAGCAGAGATGAGAGAAATTATTGAAAGTTTCCTTTTTAGGAGTGGCAAAAGGAAGCATATCTTATTCTTCATACCTGGTCCATCATACAGGGGAAGATTAGAATTAAAAATAAGATTATGCACATACTACCCAACTTGCCTTGGGGGTAAGGTGGGGGGCTAGAGAAGAATTAGGATCCCAGTTAATGTAGCAGCCTCTCCCAGATCTCACAACTCCTTTCTTTTACCTGTGATTTTAAGAAACTTGCTATATGACCTTAGGCAAATCACTTGACCTCTTTGTCTCTTCTATAAAATAGAAACAAGATACTTAAGGATGCTAGTTTGGTGGTGTGTAGACTAATAAAAATAATTGGAAGGCACTTGACATATAAAATATGCGGTGTAATTCCCAAATAACAACAACAACAGAAATGGTATGTGACCTACTGTTGAGTCATGTTGGGCAGGAGACTTTATGCAGATGACATAATTTACTGTCTTTCAAAAACAAAATTGAAGATGTAAAGTCACTTTTTGGGTTGAGGATAAGGTGTCAAACTTGACCAGGAAGGATGGAATATTTCTGGAATTTCCTTTGTCTTCTATGTTTGCATAGTTGGATGGTCCCAACCCAACTGGCTTGCTGGCCCATATAAAAAGCTTTTTATTTTACTCCACCCCCTCCTTAGCATATTTACTGAAGAAACTCAGTATTTTATTAGTTTATGAATTTTTCCCCTTAAAATGTTGCCATAACACTTTAGACCACGTTAAACATCACATAAGCACCTAATGTAAATTTAAAATGGCAGGGAAAGCAACCATCTATACATACATGGCAGAGAGAAAGCCAGGTACTTAGTGTTCATTGAAGATGGAAAATGTTGAGAACTAGGCTTTCAGGGGGATGATGTGGCTGTGGCCCTTAACATTACTATGGCAGAA